TGATTAGTGATGTTGAACATCTTTTCATGTGCCTATTGGCCATCTGTATATCTTCTTTGGAGAAGTGTCTGTTCATTTCCTCTGCCCATTTTTTGATCGGGTTGTTTATTTTTTTGTTGTTCAGTTGTGTAAAATCACCCTTTTTAACAGTCATAAAATACTGGTAGGAGCAGTCGTAAAATACTGACTTCAGGGTGTTGACTAGCTTTTTTCAAGTCTCTGCATGAGTTGTAAACATGGCGATAGACTGTGACCCGGTGACCTTGCAGCTTTCCTTCCTTTCACTCACGGGTGCACGGGCCTAAGGGTTTCGGCCATCAGACATATCAGCTGCTCCTGTACGCTTGGTCGTTGGACTGCTGGACCCGTGGGAGGCCGTCTCACCATCCCGTCCGGTGGCCCACGCGCCATCCTCGGTGTTAGTCACCCGGGGCAGGGGTAGCTGCATCTTCTCAATTCCCGCCAGCGCCGTTCCTTCTCAGACCTGTTCCTATTTAGCACTGACTTTCTTTGGAACCTGTTTTGCTTTCAAATATTCATTGCTTTAAATACTTTGTCTTTCATGGGGTAAGTATTCTATTGATTGGTATATATACATTTTTATATTTGATTCCTTACAATTTCCTCTTTTAAAATGTGATTTTTACGTGTTAATAATTTCATTGCATTTGTTTATGTCAAAGTAACAACTTCAGAGAGAAAAATAAAAAAATCTGAAATGATAAAGCACATAATGTCACTCATACATGGGGAGACCCAATTGCTGCACACCATCGAGAGGGAGTCGCGAATAGTGTCTGGGACACATTTCTTCGTGGTGGTCTTGTCTTATATTTCTCTGTTCCTGTGATGCTTATTTAGCTCTTTCCCCTCATGGTCCCTTACAATATTAATAAATCCTTTCTTCACCCCTCTGAGTTGAAGAGATGACGTGAGTCATGATTTATCATTATCAATATGTGGCATAGAAGTCAGACTTTAAAATATGAAGGGCCCTGTTAAAGTTTTAAAACTCTGCATGGTCAGAAGAGAGTCTCATAGCCTTCAATGTGAAATTGAGAGTTGGCCTGTTTTTATAGCAAATAAATAATATTTAAGGGGAAAAAAATCACTATTTTTATTAAAATTTAAAAAAATAAGACATATCTCTATATCATGGAGTAGAATGCAAATTTTACCCAAACTCTTAGGATAAAACAGGGAACTTGAAGAAAACGTAGTGCCTAAGATTGCTTCCTGGGCCCCTGCAGGTCTGGGCGGAGACACCTTCATCATCTCCCACCTCTAGGGGCCTTGCTGGGGAGTCTGGTCAGAGGTGAAGGGAATCCCCCTCCTGCCCCCTTCCTCCAACTTGGACTTCAGTGGGGTGTTCTTGTGTAACTGTCAGTTTAAAGACAGAAAGGGAAAAACACTTTCCTGGTAAAGTGCCAGGCTTCACAGCAGGCTTTGGGGAGATTCTTGGGGTGGAGGGCTCAACTCCTGGTCTGAGAAGATGCCACACGGAGCCCTGTGAGTACCTGCCCCGCTCTGATTAGCAGGAGAATGGCAGGGAGAAAATAAACCTCCAGTCACGTACATTAGAATTCAGCAGGCTCTCGTTGCCCCGACTCTACAGTCCCATCCTGTAATCAAACTGTGGACGCGTCTTCAGACCCTCAGTCATCTCAGAATGATTTTACGGTGGGGTGATTAATCTGTAACTTATTTTCTGCAGAGACCAATTTAGTTTTCTCTCCCCCTTTTTTATCCGCTGTCAGCAGTTCTGTCAATATCACTTTGTGACCCTCTGCTGCAGGATTTCATACCGAAACCTTCCTATCGATTTCGGCCATCTTCACACCCAGCTCCTCAATTTTTTTTTTACTGTTTAAGGATATTGCCTTCTGTGGTGAATCTAATCTTATGCTCACTGCATCATTACCTTTTGCAATTAAATTGGAGGTTCTTTGCCATTTATAATCATTAGCAGAGCCCAGAGGAGGTCTAGAGGGGGAGGTTCCGTGGGGTCCCAGACCCTGATGAAGGCAGAGGGGATGCCTCCCTGTTTTGATCTGTGCTCATTCATCTCTAGGGTCTAGCGGCTTTCACTGGCTATGGAAATAAATAGCTTCTTTCAAGGTGCAGCGAGTGGCAGGGCAAAAGGAGGGAAGGTTGCCTTGGGGATCGGCTGCCCTCTTCCTTCTGCACACACATCACTGTAGGAGCTCCTGGAAGATGAACCCAGATCTCCCCTGCTCGGTGGTACAGGGCCTGAGGCGTTTCCATACAGGAGCACCTCTTTGAAGGAAGAGAATGGGCTGCAAGGGCACAGTGTTTTTTAGAAATTTTCTAATCCAAAGTTTAAAACGTTCCACAAAAGGATCAAATACACAAAATGGGAGAGAAGCTCGTAGTGAAGGAAAATCATTAAATGCAACTAGAGTCGTGTCTGCTGTGCCTGGAGATAGAAAACGTGTTTGTTGCTTGGGGACAAGAGAGAGTGCTGAGCAGAAGCGGAGCTGCCCTGAGGCCGAGCGGAGGCAGCGAGTCGGACCCTGGGGACCTTGGCCCCTGCTCCCCCGCCCTCACGCGGGTTGGTTATCGCCCCTCGCCGCAGGCATGACCCCCACCTTCCTCGCAGCTTGTGTGTCAGCCACATGTGGTAGGGCCGAAAGCAAGAGGCTTGTTCAGTTGGTTTAACCCCTTTAGTTAGTCTTGAAGTTTAGAACTTCGAGTCTGAGGCCTGACAGGCTGGGTTCAGTTGTCGGCCTGCTGTCCATCAGCAGTGTGGCCTTGGAAACCAACTCGTCTCAGACGCCGTTCCCTGCCTGGAGTCGAGAGGGCCCATCCCTGCCTTGTCGAGATGGTCGCAGGGACGTGCCTGGCACTTCTGTCCTCTGCGGTGACACCACCCTGGACAAAGACTGTGTTCCCAGCCTCCCTTGCAGCGTGGTGGATCTGGACAAATGGACGTGGGTGGAAATGGTCTCCTCGGCTTCTGGACAGTGTTCCTGAATGAGGGGACGTTTCCTTCACTTTTACATCCTTGCTCCTGGGATGTGGCAGTAGTGTGCGAAGATTTTCTCCCATTTTCTCACTTGTCCCTTCATCTTCTCAGGAGGATCTTTCACGGAGCAAAAGTTTTCATTGTCTTTTTTTTTTAAATAGACTTTAGTTTTTAGAACAGTTAATTTAGGTTCACAGCACAATTGAGAGGCGGGTACAGAGATTCCCCATGCACCCTGTCCCTTACATACCCACAGCCTCCCCCTTACCAACATCCCCACCAGAGGGTACATTTGTTACAGCTGATGAACCTCCATGGACACCTCATCATCACCCAGAGTTCACACTTACAGTAGGGTTCACT